GTTTTGGGATTTTGTGATATGGGCTAATCTTACTGGAGTTAGATGATATCTCAAAGTAGTTTTGATTTGCATTTCTCTGATGATTAAGGATGATGAGAATTTTTTCATATAGTCTGTAGGCCACGCACCTGTCTTCTTCAGAGTCTCAATCACATCCTTCTTTAAGTATCACTGCTTTCTAATTGTTTTTTTTTTCATTGCAAATATTATCTATCAGCTGTTAGTTTGCTCATTTGCTCATGTACACATTTGCTTATGCGTCCCTTTGACCATTATTAAAATTTAGATAAATATCTAAAATGTGTTAAGTAGTAAGAACACTTAACATCAACCGGCTCTCTTCATCGATTTTTAAAGGCCGAATTCATTATTGCTATTTAGAAGTACAATGTTGTACAGATCTCTAGAGCTTAGTCATCTTGTTTAACTGAAACCTGATGTCCACTGATAAGTAACACCTGAACTTCCAATACCACACCCCCTGGTCACCACTATTCTACTCTTTGATTCTATGAATTTGACTAGATACCTCATGTCAGTGGCATCATGAAGTATTTCTCTTCCTGTGACTGGCTTACTTCACTGAACACAATGTCCTCAAGTTTCAACCATGCTGTCACATGTTGTAGTAATTCTTCCTTTCTTTCTTCTTAAGGCTGAATGATATTGCACCGTATGTACATGCCACAGATTATCCACTTGTCTGCCGATGGACATTTGAGTTGTTTCCACATCTTGGCTATTGTGACTAGTGCTACAATGAACATGAAGACGCTAATATCTCTTTAAGATCCTGATCTTAATTCTTTTGGATAAATACCCAGAAGTGGGATTGCTGAATGATATAGTAGCTCTATTTGTAAGTTTTTGAGGAAATTCCATATTGTTTCATACAAGCGATATTGTTTTCCATTATTACCAACAGTTTACAAGGGTTCTAATTTCATCATCTCTTCACCAACATTTGTTTCTTGTTTTTCGTTGTTGTTGTTTTTTAAATAATAGTCATCTCGATAGCTGTGAGGTAATATCTCATTGTGGAGTTGACTGGAGTTTTTGTAATTATTGGGGACACTAAGCATTTTTTCATATGCCTGTTCACCATTTGAATATTTTCTTTGGAAGAAAACGTCTACTTAAAGTCTTTTCACCTGTTTTTTAATAAGACTATTGGGACATTTTTTCCCCTATTGCATAATAGGAATTCTTTATGCATTTTGGATAGTAACCCCATGTCAGACTAATGACTCACAAGTATTTTCTCCCATTTCATAGGCTGCCTTTTCATTTTGTTAAGTGTTTCCTTTGCTGTTTGATGCAGTCCTATGTGTTTTTGTTTTTACTGCCTGTGTTTTCCATGTCACTTCCATGAAAAAAAAATTGCCCAATTCAGAGTCATGAAGCTTTTCCTCTATGTTTTCTTTTAGAAGCTTTAACATTTTAGGTCTTCAAGCTTTTAACCCATTTCGAGTTGATTTTTGTATCTGGTGTAAAATAAGGTTCCATTTTAATCTTCATGCAGTACCATGCTATTTTCATTACTATAGTAATATAATACATTTTGAAATTAGGAAATATGATGCCTCCAGACTTCTTTCTCTTTCTGAAGAATATTAGGCAATTTCAGCTCTTTGGTGGTTCCACATGAATTTCATAACTGTTTTTCCTATTTCTGTAAAAAGTTCCTTTGGGATTTTGGTGAGAGATTCCATTGAATTTGTAGGTAACTTTGAGTAGTATGGAAATTTTTACACCTCTATGTCTTCAATTCATGAATATTGGGTGGCACATTTTTTTATTCCTTTAAGCATTTAGAAATACAGGCAGACCTTGTTTCCTGTGGTTCTAATACGCATGAATTTCTGTATCCACAAATTAGTTCACTGATATCTCTCCCCTATCATGACTCAAATTTCAGTTCCCATCGTGTATTAATTGTGAGCAATTATAAAAAGGACAGATTTTGCTGTTAGTTCTTCAGTTTAAAAATCACTACCTAAGCAACCTCTGTGCATTGTGTTTGGTGAGTAACCACATCACTTCTTTTAAAGTCTGATGGTGATTGCTCACTATGTATCTGTTACCTAGGACACGTACAAAGAGGAAACCATGTATTTGTACTGTCTCCTTGCCTCTAAATTCATGTGACATTTTATAAAATGAAAAATGGAAATATAGAATTGGCCAACAAAGATGAAAGTGCAGCAATGAAATAAAAAGTGATAACGCTAGAGGTGAAATTCAAATCTAAATGGAATTACAGAAGAAACAGTGACTGTGAGAATGCAGATGCTCTCGCCATTAGGAGACTTTGTATATACAGCAGATGAATTTAGTGAAGGCATACTTATTGTCACAAATGAGGACAGGACTTGGGAAGAAAAGGGTGAAGATATCACAGAGGAAGTGATGTCGGAAAAAAAACTCAGAGATAGTTCATGATATTGAAACTACAGAGGATAATTGGTGGGAGTTAATGCCCAGTCCAGATTGTCCTATTTTTAGAATATTTTCCACCCTTTCCTACATCAAAATTCTATTTCTTTATTAAAATCCGAATCAAATTCCATGTATTCCAAGAAGTTACCTTAACTCCTCTGGTCAAAAAGTAATTCAGTCCTCCTGTGCACCCCCTCAGCCTAGAAAAGTAGGATTTAGATCGATTGTATACCAATATTAGTTTTTAAATAACAGGTTATATGTCAGTCATTCATTTATTTGCTCATCCTATCATTTCATGTTCATTGAGAATTTCATGAGGCAGAAACTTTTAATTTATTCATTTCTTTACTCCTATATGCAGTAGGAGTAGGGAGAATGGAGTTTTCAAATCCTGGTACCATTCACAAGCATTTTAATATTTGTTTGCTTATTTATACTACAACGACCATAATGTTTAGACATAGTAGCATTTGGTGATCATGGCTATGCAACCCATTGGCTGTTTTATCTATATTGCTGCAACTTTCAACTACACTAAACAGTTCAACCTCTTCTGTCTCAAAGTTTGCAAATCTGAAGTGGAAATAAGAAAACTGGACAACAGAGTTGAGATGTGACAGAAATTAAGAATGATATAAAATAGCTAACCAAGTGCTGTAGGGAAAGGGAAAAGACACGTAGTAAACACAAAATTGTTCCTAGGATTTTCATGGACTTCTTGTGATCATATGAGTATGTAGGGATCACAGGATTCAAGTATTCCCTGAAAAGGATTTCTGAAAATTAAAGAAAACTTTGACTTAGGTCTTACTGATTGCGCCTAAATAGAACAAGACTTTTTTCACATAGAAGAATGAATGCAATTAGCATCAAAATTATTTATTCATTCATAATATATTTGAATACATACAAGACACTAGAACTGTAAGGAGGGAGACAAAATCCATAATGTTTGCCCTAAAGGAGCAAGTAATCTAGCAATGAGATTGGCTTACAAAGAATTATAGTCATGGACAATGTATACTAAAAACCTGCCTTACCGACAAGGGCCATGTACGTGTATAGGCAAATCCTTATTGTCTAGAATAGCACCAGTCCCAGGCTGGAAACTTTAAAAATATAATGGCTGAATTATATTAAAGTGTAAATAAAATGAAATCATTAAGCTTCTGGAATAAAATATGGGTGAACATAATTATCTTGGAGAAGGAAACGTTTTATTCTGAAGAAAAACAAAAAATAAGAAACACCATTAAGGATAGTTTTGTGATCTGGTTATGTATATTAAAAAATTGTATTGACTAAAGAAAAGGGCAGATGTAAATGATGAATTGAAAAAATATTTTTGAGTTTTGTGGCAAAGGGTTACTGTGTTCATTATACAAAAGCACCTATAAAATTATTATGAAAATCAAATACAAAGTCAAGGAGAGCCCATGGTCAATAAATACAGTATTGGAAACATGGTTAATATTACTTGTGCTCTAGTAACTGTAAATAGAAACCATGACAAAATAGCATTCCTATCTATCAGACTGTTGAACAAAAAAATGCCAATCCTAAAGTTTTTCTAGGGCTGAAACCCTGGAAAACTCATACAATATTTGTAAAAATATAAATTAGCACAAACTTTGTGTAAGGCAATATCAAAATATAGAATAAAGCTTCAAAATTGCAAATATAAATACTTCTCAGTAATTTACCTGCTAAGAATTTATTCTTAGAAGGTAATTATACAAGTATAGCAAGAAGTTTATTATAGTCTAACTTATAATGGTTTAAAAAAAAAGGTGTGATAAATTCATAAATCACTCATAAATACACAGTTATACACACATAATATACAACATAGTCACTAACATGGAAAACGTTCCATCATTCATTCTTTTCTTTTCTTTTTTTTTTTTTTTCCAGTTTTTGGCCAGGGCTGGGTTTGAACCCGCCACCTCTGGCATATGGGGTCGACACCTACTCTTTTGAGCCACACGTACCGCCCCATCATTCATTCTTTGTTACATAATAAGAACCAGCTTAAAGCTATGTCAATATTATGTTATTTATGTAAAATTTTATGAACACATGTGCTTACAAACACAGAATGAAAGATGCTCAAAAAAGATGGTCAAAATAATGCTCATATTTTTTGTGATTTTAACATTTTTTTCTTCCTGACTCTATATAGTGCTTGAATTTTCTATGAATGGGTACATATTTCCCTCATAAACAAACCAAAAGTGTTTTTGTTTGTTTGTTTATGACAGAGTCTTGCTCTGTGCCCTGGATAGGGTGCTGTGCTGTCACAGCTCACAGCAACCTCAAACTCTTAGGCTTGAGCAATCCTCTTGTCTCAGCCTCCCAAATAGCTGGGACTACAGGTGTCACCTCAATACCCAGCTGATTTTTCTATTTTTAGTAGAGACCATGTCTCGCTCTTGCTCAGGCTACTCTTGAACTCCTGAACTCAAGCAATTCACCCGCCTCAGGGACCAACCCACCATGGCCTCCAGGACTGGTAGGATCACAGATGTGAAGCGCTGCTCCTGGCCACTAGAAGTGTTTTTCGAAAGCTCTTCTTAACCCTCCACTGTAATGCATCTTCAGGCCTCAAACCCTTAAATTCGTGTTGGTCCTTTAACCTGTATTATCATCTTTTCTTTACATCTTCTCTGCCAACTCATCATTTCATTCAGCTTAACTGTTTGTATCAGACACTGTACTAAAATAAAAATGTCCTTGAACTTCTGCTTTTATAGAATTTGCTCAAGAGTCTCAAAAGCCAAAGCTAAATCAATGTACTACAACGACAGACTTTTCTGGAAGGACTTACTGATGGTTTTACTTCCTCATTACTGCCCATTTTATGATGTTAGCTGGGTGTTCTACACAGGGCTGCCGCTCTATTTTTGATGAAATATAAGGGTGGGGTTGGTGCAACATCTCTCCCAATAGAAGCAATTGAAAACCCTTGCAATATAATTTGTTGTAATTTGTGCATCTATCTTTCATCTTGATTCCAAGTAATGATGGGTAGTATTTGGCAGCCTTCTGATGAACAGATTCCTGTATACCAACTTATCAAAAACTTAGGGTGGTGGGTGAATTGTGAGTAAGATTTCTGGATCCTTTGTCCTCACTTTGAACCTAGGCTGCTCTCTTCAGGTCATCGCAACCAACTGAAAATCACAGAAAACCAAAAATACTTTTGGTGTGCAAAGACACCCACAAAATTTGATGTTATTTTCATTGGGGAAAGCAACTCCTGCCTAGTTTTGAAATTCACTGATTTGTGCTTACTAGAGTTTTTTTTTTTGTTTTTTTTTTTTTTTTTAAGTTGGAAAGAAAAGATGTCTATTTTTCTCTAAAAACTCTAAGTTTGGGGATATAGTTTAGTCCATTCTTTGGGTCCCCTCTTGAAGAGTTCTTCTTACAGAAAATATTATCCTCACTGATGAGAGGAACAACTTCATGCGACTTCAATTTCCCAGCCGAAATTGCAAAAGTGAAGTATGGGGTGGGATACTTCCAAAGTTAAAAGGTGCTCCATTTTATGTGGAAGATTTTTAACAAGTGAAAGTGGGAGCTAAAACTAGAACAAGACACACAGAATTTAGACTCAAAGTTCTGGCATGGGTTTTCAACTTGTTAATAATGGTTTCCATTTGTGTACGTGATTCAGTATCCTCAGTACCTCCTGGCCATCAAATATCTGTGTTTAGTTTCTCCTGAATTGAGCCCTTATGGGTCTCGTTTTCACCATGGCACTGGGAGACAGTGGGAAATGAATAAATTTGATGTTTCAAAAATTATACTGTCTCTTTAAAAAATAAGCAGATGTTTGGACCAAGAACCAACGATCACTAATGTGGATGCCATCAGTGTACTGATATGAGCAAGAAGCAATGAGCAAGAAGCAATAGAAGAGCTATAGAAGAGCAAGAAGCAATCTATAACCACCTTTTTTATATAAGATATGCCATCTGTATATGGTATATGGATGGGCCATATGACACATTGATATGGAGAAAGGTTTTTTTTTGGAAGTATGTACTCACCCCAAATTCCCATGAATACTGCAAAGAACACTGTTGATTCGTTATCAAACAAATGGGAGATCTGTAAAAACAACAGTAACATCACCAAGACAGTTAGTATGAAACGCCACACAAAAGGAGAGAAATTCCAAATTTTTCAACATACCCCAAGGTCTACATACCTTTGACGCTAAACAAGTACTATTTAGTCTCCAATAATCACACAGTACGTCACAGAGTGGACACATGATCATTTGACCTCCAATCTGAGGGTCACAGATTTCCATGCTGCAGGAGGAACGGCCAAGTCATCTTAAAAGTGACAGGTGTTTGGGTGAAAAGCTAAGCTGTTCTCGTGAGAGCCAGTGTTTACGTAGCTTCTTACATAGGACAGAAGGGGCAAGGAAGCCGCCATTTCTGTAGCACGCTTTGAGAGACAGAATCTTTAACGGCTCATCATGAAAAACGGATGCCCCATAAAACACAAGGTGAAGGAGAGCTGCTACATCTAGGTCTTTCCTAAAAACATCAGTTATCTGCTGCCACAAGGACACATTCTGAAGCAATCAGGGAGATAACAGCAGGAGTCCCAGTTAGTAGAAGAACAAAATGCTCTGTACTGCTCTCTGTGCTTCCTCTGTGTGGCCACCTCACTTGCACTTACCTGTTTGTGTTACCGTTCATTGATAATAAACCGTAAATAAAACAACCTAAGCCAACGACAGCTGCAACTAACAACATTTCCGTGTAAAATCCCAGAAAAACAAAATAGATGCCAATTTTTTCTCCATAATAATTCCTGTGGAAGAGAGAACAAAACAGAATCAGAGGTTGGAAGAATGTTACAGTCCAGACAGCCATGGCTTTGTATTCAGACAGGCACGTGTTCTGATTTCAACCCCAGGACTCTGAGGCTATGTTAATGCTGGTAAAGTTACTCAATTCGCTAAGGTTTAGTTTCCACATCATAAAGCACAGGGTAATACTTATTCCATGGCATAAACATTAAAAGAAATAAAAGATATCGGTAGGAAGCCAATTGAATGACATTCCAATTTTTATTATACATAATAAGCTAATCTGAAGAGCCTCTACATTATGAGGAGTTTACATGTTTTTCTGAATAAACTGTAAAATATTCTGCAATGTCACTTGCTAGCAATTAACAAACCAAAATCTCATGCATCACCTGTGTGCACTTTCACTTTACCTCTCTTTTCTAAAATTGAAGGAAGGTACTCTGGCCACACTCATTATAGGTGTAAATTTCCAAATTTGGATTTCTAATGTTTGTTTAAGGAATTATGACACAGGTAGCAACCCAAGGAGTGAAAAAAGGACTAACAAAAATTCTACAAATGGGCGGCACCTGTGGCTCAAAGGAGTCGGGCGCCAGGCCCATGTACCGGAGGTGGTGAGTTCAAACCCGGCCCCAGACAAAAACGACAAAAAAAAAAAAAAAATTCTATGAAGTATACAGCTCAGATCTTACATTTTGAAGAGTTGTGATATTATTTGGCATCAATTTTCAAGTTTCATAACTAATTTTTTTCTTTTTTAAAACAACGGAGTCTCCATTTAGGAGCCAGAGAATATAGTTTTCTCAACCTCTGAAAACTAGGTTTTATTATCATTATTTAAAAGGATTAACTCTCCTTCTCATTCATGTAGAAAGAATCCATCTTACTGAATCTGTGAGCCTTTCTACAGATCCTAGCCAGATAGATGTGACCCTTTTGGGGTTCTAAGAATATGTTATACAATTCTGTGAAAGCACTTAATATTAAATTATAATTTCTACATATGTTCAAAGAAAGGCAACTTGTAACATAAAGTTTATAAACTTCATTTCCCAATATGAAGATTTTAAAATATATTTCTTATATTCAATATTTACTTTATTGACCCTCCTATTTTTCAGATTTCAAAGCTACTGTTAATTAGCCATTTTTCTACTTGCATTATCTTTTTAAATTATTTTCAATGATAATAAACAATTTTTGCATTATTTTCTCTTATTTTGCTTTCCAAATAACTATAAACTTGAAATTAAATTATAATGCTATCAAATCCCCTTGGTAATCTGGCATGCGCAACTTCCTCAGATTTACTCAGAGTGAATAAACTTGCTTTGTTTTAGCTTTTTACTGAAAAACATACAGCAAGTACTACAAAACTACATAACATCAACATAAGAAAGTATGAAAATATTTTATTTGGGGGAATTTACTTTTTATCATGTCTATTTCCATTTGATGTTTCAAAAATTACAGAATCAATAATTCTCAGAAGGTGTTATAAGATCCCTATTGTTATAGACTTAAAAATTCTTCAGAAATTCCTAAGAAAGTTGAACATTTTGCCAACTGTATTTTAGAGGACCACTTTTTTCTCTATTTCAAATTTGAAAAATTTTATTTTGTGAGAATTAAAAAACATACAGCTCTCAAGAACTCTAGATCTATAACTGCTATTAAAATATTCTCAAAAAGAGAAATTGCTTAGCACTTACTAAACAAAATCAGACAAACATTTACAATAGGTGGAAAGGTAGACATTATTTTACTAAACTTTGGATTTGTGTATTTAATGGTACCAGATCAACAACTAAAATATATTTTAGACGTGCAGAAAAGAAATGACATAGTTTAGATTTATATTATAGTAAAATTGTACCGATTCCTTGAACTAACATTTAAGTTTAAAACTAAGCTATCTTATTCATAACAAAGCAAATAAGAGAAATTTAATAATATGAGATACTATAAAGACTCAAATACAAGGATAGCCCTGTTTTGAGTATTTTTTTTTTTTTTTAGAAAAAAATGTGTCCTATATCTATGGTATAATTCTTAACCTGCCCATTTTATTTACCAAATTTTAGACTGATGTGTGGCAGTACACCATATAACATAGTCTCTGATAGGTAGGAGGGATTCAGAATTTGGGTTGTGAGATATTGTGTGAAAGAATTGGTGAATTTTTGTATTTATAGGATATAATACTTAGTCTGAGACATAATAAATAATAAAAAGGGTAACAGAATTAAAATGAATACCGTCTCGAGTAATGAATGAACAAATGTTAATACTTGTTGTAAAGGGATTCGTTTTTACAGTGAATACAGAGACATCTGAGAAACATAGCTTAGATTACCGTGGCATTGTACTACACTGCACCTCTAGGTATTCTAAACTATTTAGTATGTGGCAAGATATCGGTAGATGGGGTTGTTATATTGACAGAAAAAAACAATAGAGCTGATAGAGCATGTATAATTAAAGACTGGTATGTTATAATAGCAACTTTAATATTATCACGTCCCCCCAAAATATGTTCTCAAAAAAAAAAAAAAAAGAAAAAAAAAGATCAGTGTCCCAAATGCAGGAAAAGCACTTACAAATATTTGGACAAAAAGTGAAATTTGGTATAGAGATAACAGGTCATGTGAAATCTAGGAATTCAGATTTTTATATTCTAAATCTCTTTCTAGGTACCCCATTATCTTGCCTTCTTTTTTTTTTTACCCTCCATATCCAGTAACCCATTAGGTCCAATAAATTCTGCCAGAAAACCCTTTTTCTAATCCATAGTATCCTCTGCTTCCTGTTACCAGTGTCTTGGATGAGATCCTCAATATTTATTGCTGGGCAGTTTTAACGGCCTCCTAACTTCTCTGAGTTCAGTCTTAGATCCCTCTCAAATAAACTGTCTTGTTTGTTTTCAGTCAAGTGATGTTTCTAAAGGAAAAATTTGCCGATCTCCTTTTTTCTCCAAAGATTTCATCTTGGAGAAATGAGCTCATCTTCAAGAGCTTTGCTTCTCATGATTTTGCTCCTGGTAACTATTCAAATCTCCTTTGCAGACAGACACCCCTATATGAAAATGAAATGCACTGTGCTCTTTAGCCCAGTCTTCTGCATTTATTCTCTCCGCCTGGGACGTTTCTACCGAACTTGTTTGTCTAGCACCCTGCTACATATTTTTCATGCCACAGTTCAAGAATGAGCCCTGTGAAGCTGTCCCTGAGGTTGTTATACAGGCAAGTGCTTTCTCCTCTGTGCTTTGTTCTTTTGTGAGTGCTACTGTACTCTAACTGTTATGCATTTGTATCTGTTGTTGTGAGAAATTCATGTCAGGGAACTATGATCTGATTACCTTCCCTGGTATGTAGTCATGTTTAATAAATTCTCATTTAAAGATGTGTGAATTGGCTCAGCGCCTATATCTCAGTGGGTAGGGCACTGGCCACATACACGGAAGATGGCGGGTTTGAGCCCAGCCCGGGCCTGCTAAACAGCAATGGCAACTGCAACAAAAAAATAGCCGGTGTTGTGGCAGGTGCCTGTAGTCCCAGCTACTTGGGAGGCTTGAGGCAAGAAAATCACTTGAGCCCAAGAGTTTGAGATTGCTGTGAGCTGTGATACCATGGCGACAGTGAGACTCTATCTCAATAAATAAATAAATAATAAAGATGTGTGAATCAATAAGATGATTTTCTTCTTCTGGGTAAATACCTAGTGATGGGATTGCAAGATCAAATACAAGGTCCTACTTTTAGATCTTTGAAGATTCTCCCCATTTCTTTCCAAAAAGTTTGTATTAGTTAGTGTGCAATCCCACCAACAATGTATAAATATTCCCTTCTCTCCACACCCATGCCAGCATCTGCAGCTTTGCTACTATGTGATGAGGGCCAGTCTCACTGGGTGAAATTAAATTTAAAAAGGAAAGCAAAGGAAACCATATCTTTCACACCATAATGAATTACAGATATAAAAGTGACAGAATATTAAAGATTCTAAAAAAAAGTTTGAATTGTGATTATGCTCCTATGAATAAATTATTTCTCTTTTTTTTAAAAAATTCTCTTTTATCAAGTATTACATTTTTTTAAAAGCCATCAAATCAACAAGGTGAAAAAAACACCTTCATTACAGGTCTTCAGTATCATGACAGAGAATATCATGACTTCAAATGACCTATAAGTAAAGATATCAGCCTAATTTTAACCTGAGATACTGAAAGTGGATAAAGAAATGCTGAAACAGTCTAGGGGGGAAATGTAAACTAGCGTGGAGAATGTAGCCAGGCACAGAAAAAACAACCACTAGAAAAGAGCTATACTTTATTGGTTTTTTTGTTTGTTTGTTTGGATTTTTTTTTGTAAGAAAGGATCAGAAAATGAGCAGCACTGAAAATGGCAGACTCGGAGAAGCAGTATTTCCAGGGAATAATCAGATACAGAGAAGAACGGTACTCCGTGGAGGTGTGGGAGTAAAAACACAAAAGAAAATAGGAGGGTAGAATTAGTCATAGGAACAAAAGAAAAAGCTTGTGCCAACCACCCAGCATTATCCGTAAACTGTGTGGAAGAGGAAAGAAGCACCAGCAGTGGGCGCTCTAGTGCTAAACGCTGTCCATGAATTAAAGACAAATTGGAACGCCATCACATCCCTAAACCACAAGTAAATAAATAAATAAAAACCAGAAAATGCAGAACAAATAATTTCAGCTAATAAAAATTCTCCCCAAAGTATATGAAATTGAAAAATATTGCAATGAAAACTACAAAGTGGGGCGGCGCTTGTGGCTCAAAGGAGTAAGGCGCCGGCCCCATATGCTGGAGGTGGCAGGTTAATACTCAGTCCCGGCCAAAAAGTGCAAACAAAACAAACAAACAAACAACGACAAAAACACTACAAACTGAATGAGAGACTCTGAGATAAACATGTGTGGATGTTTATTTGCCCCCATTCGTTTTTATAGTTTTATGTAGTATGTCTTTGCATGGAATCG